TTAACTATCCGGTGCCAGTGCGGTTGCGAATATACGTGATACGCAGTGGATGAATATACAGATCTGCCTGTATGCCGTCCTGAGAACTGCAGCAGAGTGTCTCCTTATGACAGCAATCTCCATGAGGAATGTTGTCAATGCAGTATCTGTATTGGTGTTATCGTCGGGAACACCCCTGACATAGCCCTATGGACAGACTTCGCCACGCAGGCACTTCGGGAGACATCTAAATGATCTTGGGAGTGGGAGGTAAAAGGGTGAAACTCTAGATCTACAGATGCAGTCGCCCAGGGAATAGAACAATACCATATGAATGCTATACTCGAAGACCAATCATCATCCATAGAAGCAGCTGCCTAGACAGACTGGAATAAGATCAGAATGGTGCAACCGCCTTATTTCTTACTGGACACGATACCTAACACATGCCCAGCAAACGACACGTTGCACTTATTCAACTGTCGAACAATGGCTTCTCACCAGTCTGCGAATTCTGTATGGACGCTACCCATACAGTTTGTAACATTCCTGAATTTGAATACAGTGGAGTCTGAACCGGACAATACATAATGGTTTCTTCGTGTATTTTAGTTGATACAAGACCAAATTTACAATATTCAAGGATGCGTTGTTTCTATGTAACGATAGATAGCACTACAATATCCTAAGACAAGCAACAGCAGGCCAAACATCTGCATAGCTGGAATAAAAGGAATTGCAGGAGAAAGCTTCACACAAGGGAAACTGGCAAACTAAATAAGCAAGGACTCTATCCTCTGCAAAAATTTAAGGAGGCGTTGTTTCTAGGCGACGATAGATGGCAGTCCCATCACCGAGGAGAGCCTACATCAGACTAATTATCTACTTAGCTGGAATTAATATGATTGATCATATAGAATAAATCTGACTTAATCGATTAGAATCGCCAAAAAGTGTAAAATAAGAATAAAAACTTATTGATAGGATATAAGATAATACGTTACTTATAATTTTTCTCCCCACTTAATATTATAATTTCCCACTTATACCTAATACGATTAGGGTTTAATATACAAATAATTGACGATAACGAGATTTTCTAAAGATGATGCAAACGCTGAGTTAAAACCTTATCAGATAAGCGCTCGGCATCACGTTTCACTTTCTCCGAACATCCCACATTATATTTTCGTACAAAAAATTGCACCAAACTGCCACACGATGAGGATGATGGAGGGAGAGGTCTCTCAACAGAAACACTTGGCTTTTTCCCATTCACTGATAAGACAATTTTAATTGTTGAAAGGGAAAGGATCTTGGGATTTTTCAATGGAATTCCGTATTCGTTTGCATAAAAAAAATCAAAAAAATATTGACACAACTTTAATTTTCATTTTCAGTGAACTTTAGAGATACACCTAATTTCGTTCGCTCTTTTCTCGGCAAGTTATTCAATGAATTAGTTCGTTCCGGAGCGATTTAACTTTCATTTTCATGCATTTCAATGTAGAGTTGTACTTTCTAGTTCATTAAGAAGATCGCTTTTTTAGTTCAGCTCTCATGAATGAACTAGTTCGTTCTTTTAGTTCAGTATTTTATTAGTTCGTCGATACAGACCCATTCGTGAACGACGATTGTGAATCATACACTGAACCATTATTTGCTATTTAGTTCGTGAAAAAGGCAAATAAATTTGTTCAAATTAATATTAAAAAATATATATATTGGAATTTTGTTCAAAACGATAAAAATTCAATTATGAATAGATAATTTATAATATAAAAATTATCATTTAATTTTTCAAAATAATTTTTTTTTATTTCTTTATAATTGAACAAACGATTAAATAGTTCGGCTAGCTGAAAAATAAAAATGAACGGCTTTGACGGAACTAGTTCACTTGCTCTTTCAACTGAATCGTTCATTTAAACTAGTTCGTTCCCGAACTATACATCTTTATTACAAGGACCCAATCTTCAAACACATATATTGTTTGTTGAAATAATCGTTTCTTTTTCAATATCAAATACCAAAAGTATTTAAATTGCATGTTCAACTTATCAAAACAAAAAATGAAATATATGACCTAAATTTGGTAGAAGCTACACTCATTAAGCAGTTCCGTTTTGAGGTGTAGGTGACACATTTGCCATAAATAACACAACACGGACTCCCTATGGCCCTCGCCCCAAAGAGAAAGAAAAATTCGTGGAGTGGTATTGAGGCGTTTTGTGTGTTTTTATTTTGAGGGGGAAGGACTTTTGCCTGCCAACCTGTCCACCTCATATGTTACACCAAATAAATCTTTAATATCATATGTCAGACAAAAATATGCGTGTGTATTGTTTCGTTTTTTTTTTCGATTAAATCACTACTTCTACTAATTCCTTGGTGGGAATTTGAACAGTGATTTTAAATAAAAATTGCGTCATGTTTTCTTTTCTTTTGTATAAATAAATACATATATTAAGGTCATCTATGATAATTAAATAAACAAATTATGGGTGGGAGAAATACAATCTTACCCAATAAAAGGAATAAGAGATTTTCTATTTATTTTTATAATTAGAACCAAATTTATGTTTGCAATTATTGTTAATAAAAAAACCTAATAAAAAACAATTATTTCATTTTTCTGGAGAAAATATTGTTTTGTTGGTATAGAAATTGCTAATATTGTTGTTCTTATTTTCGTTAATATTTTTTACAATAGAAAATATTCAATTTATAGCCGATATAGATGAGAGCAGTCATATTGCAGATTTTGAAAAAGTACGAATATTGAAGAAAAAGAGAAGAGAAAGTAAACGATACACTCTTGAGAGCTCACGAATCCAGGAGAGAATGTTCAAATCTGTAAACACAAAAAAAGATAAAGACAATACGAAACTCCAATATTCAGTTGCAATAATATAAGCATACAGTTCTCTGATATATGGCAATATTTTTATTTATACATAGTCTTTTTAGACATTATAAAATCGTTAATTAACTTTATTCCAGCTAAGTAGATGATTGGTCTGCTGAAGCCTATCCCAGGTAATGGGGGTTGCCATCTATCGTGGCCTAGAAAAAAACGCCTTGAAATTTGTGCTGTGGTTGGTGTCCTTGCTTATCAAATGTTGCCATTTTCCTCTGGGTGACGCCATCTCCTGGCATTCATATCATGTGTTGATCTCAGTGTTGATGTCGATACCGATATTGATTATTATGTTCGGTGTTTCGGATGGCTTATTTTCACAAATATTTGAAACTTTATTAAATTTTTCCTCTTCCGCTGGGATTTCAACGCAGGACCCATTGGTATGTCGTCTGTTATACAAAGCCACTCATTTCTTTTTTTCTATGAAAATTCCTGTCGATACACACGAATCTGACAACGTACCAACATCCAAAGACTTTCTCTCTTCAATACAACTTTTCCAATTCGAAATTCTTCCTTTAGCTTTAGCTCTCGTTGTGAGACTGAATTTGCAATGACTGCAAAAACGAGAAAGCAGAAACAGGATATATTGATAATGAATGCAAAGTTCTTGCAATTCCAGAAATATATCCAATTATAAATATATTAGATACGGAGGGTGATGGTACAACAATTGAATCTTCTGAAGCATAATTGCGTATCTTTGAACGTCTTCCAGTGATTTTACAGTCTGAACCTCTGAATATGGTTCGTATTTTAAATACTAAACAGATATACTTAACACACTTTACCCATAATATAAAATTTGGATCAGCATTTTATTTTATTTGAGATTAATATCGGCTATTTGCCAAACCGTTAACGAAATTTTCAATAATAATTTCACAGGGTACGATTCAACTTCAATTAAAATGCTATTGACAGCTTCTACAGGTAAAGCTGTCCTTGGTATTGGCGTTGCCACATTGTCAATGTTTTCCCTTCTCGTTAATCAGTCAAATTCAGAATTGACCCATTTGGTCCTGATGCTTTAAATTTACACCAAACTTATTATATTGGTTGGAAACTGATGGTATATTATCCTATTTATTATAATATTTTCAATTTTTTAACCAAATTTATATTACGTATATATGCCTCTCAAAATTAATTAAAAAGTAAAAGAGTTTTCATTGCATTTTTTTATTATAATATTTTTCAATCAAAAAATTTATGAAGCGTATTAAACCCCTCAACTCTTATTAAAGTATTTAATTCACACTTGCACGTAAACTAACTCCAAGTGTATTTTGGTTTTTACATTTCGGCATAATTTAACTGATAATACACAACCTAAACAAAACAAAAAACCCCGAAATGAAAATCATAACCAGAAAGTTAAGAAACAACTTTGTTTCTTTTTTTAAATACATAATTACATACTCTCATTATGGTACCTAAACTAACAGCAATTTTTTTTTACTTTATGTTAGTTAATGTCATAGAAATTGAGTGGATTACGAAAAATACAAAATTTTTACAACAACAAAATACAAAGTACAATTTAATAAACTGTCTGTGTGACGTTGTCACTAGCAGATCGAAATATAAACTGGTTAGAAGTTTAAAAAATATTTTTTTATGGACACAACACACTCAGTCATATGAACAAATTCTTGTTATAAAAATTGTCTTCACAAAATGAAGAAGAATTTGTAATATTTTACATGAAGGAAGAATGTCCTAAACAAAATGATGTAATTTTTATCTGAAAGAGGACAAATGAAAAATATTTTTCAATTGTTTTATTTGAATTCGTTCCTTTATTTGTTCTTTTGCATTCTTCTATTCAGCATTGAAATATGCTAGTGCCTAAAACTATGCTAAGAAAATACCACAACAACTGGGCTGTTGCAAAATATGACATAAGGCATCATAGTTTTTGAATAATTGACATTTTTCTAAGGAAACTAATTACAGGCAAACTCCTCTATAACATAAGGGAAGTTCCCACACAATATAATCTTCTTATTACGTCAAGAAGTTCCACTGTATTTAAGGAATTTTTGTCTTTATTTTATAAAAAATTATTAATTTTCTTCCTTTCTTTCATTACAGAATGGAAGTTCAAACGGTTAATAATCACATAAACAATTCCCTGATGTCACCATTGTCATCTGCCACAAATTCGCAACCAATGACAACCAGCAGCAACAACACATCACCATCAACACCGCCGCCACCATCCACAGCCGTTACCACACCACCATCAGTTACCACTCCTGCTGCTGCTGTACATCTACAAAAAGCCGTTGCCGTCGCAATGCAAATGAACGATAGCCTAACACAACAATTAAGTCGCAGCGATAGTCCAGCCAGTTCAAATTCGGAAATTGAAAAAGAATTACAAGATCTGGATTTGAATAGTTCCATGAATAGTGGCAGCGTAAGTTTGGGTGCCGAATTAAATTGTAAATCGAATGGTTCATTAAGTGGTGCCTCATCATCGTCGACACAAGGTCTTGTGGGTGGTGTTACAGCGTTGGGTAATGGCAACGATAACAATACGAAAGGAACTACAACAACAACGAATGGAGCTGCTACACTGGCCGCTGCTGCTGTAACAGCAGCAAATATTAAAAAACGCATTTCATCGAGTCGAACACCAACACGAAAAGCTAGACGAATAAAATTTTATCGTAATGGTGATCGTTTTTATCCTGGCATAACCATTCCAGTTTCAAATGAACGTTATAGGTAAGGGGTGATGATGAATTTGTCTCCAAAAAAAATTAAATATAATATTGATTTGTTTTTGTATTACTTTTTTTCAGATCATTTGAAAGCTTATTTGAAGATTTAACAAGACTTTTAGAAGAAAATGTTAAAATTCCAGGTGCTGTACGTACCATATATACCATGTGTGGTAAAAAGGTGAGTACAAATAGGATTAAAACAAAAGACAAAGGCGTTAAGTTCGGTCGTGCCGAATTGTTTATACTCTCCACCATGAATGCTATCAAATGGGTTCACAGGATGCGGATAGTGGAATGTCATTTGGTAACTGCGAGTTAAAATTTCTATAGGAAAATTCATGTCCGATGAACTTTTCTATGGGAAAAGTCATTTTCGATGAATTTATTCTATAGGAAAAGTCATCTGCGATTAACTTTTCTGTAGGCAAAGTCATCTCCAATGAACTTTTCTATGGGAAAAGGCATATCCCACGGACTTTTCTATCCAAAAAGTTCATATTCGATGAACTTTTCCATAGGAAAAGCCAGCAACGATTAACTTTTCTATAGCAAAAGTCATCTACGATGAACTTTTCTATAGGGAAAGATATCTTCGATGAACTTTTCTATAAGAAAAAATCATCTACGATGAACTCATTTTCGACCCATTTTTCCACCTTAGTGGGAAGTTTAGAACACCTCAGAATACGTGTTTTGTAAAATAATTTCAAATCAATCACTACTCCATCGCCATATTTGTATTAATAAACCCCCTTCTCACCCCCTCCCCTTACAGATCTCTACATTGGAAGAATTAGAAGATGGTCAAAGTTATGTGTGTTCCTGTAATAATGAAAATTTCAAAAAAGTTGAATATAATACAACATCACAACCACTTACCAATCTTTCGATATCCAATAAAACATCAAATCGTCTATCCAAATACTATAGACCATCATCGCCGCTTAAGAATGGTTCAACAAATACCAATGCCGTTGGCAATGGCAGCAGTTCGGCCACAACAAATACAAACGGCAGTCCAATTTTGGTAAAAATGAGTGAACGCGATAGTGTGGTACATCCACGGATCGTTACACTGATACGAAATGGTACACGACCACGTAAAATAATGCGTCTATTGCTGAATAAACGTAATAGCCCCAGTTTTGACCATGTCCTAACAGCTATTACACAAAAAGTTAAACTTGATACGGGTTATGTACGTAAAGTGTTTACGCTGTCGGGTTCTCCCGTTACAAATTTAGCCGATTTCTTTGGTCCCGATGATGTATTCTTTGCCTATGGCACAGAGCGTGTCAATAATCCAGATGATTTTCGTCTGGAGGTTGATGAACAGAAAGCATTGCAGGCAATACGTAAAAATTTACGTACAGCTGGTACAACATGTAAAGGCCCCAAACCAAAGATGCCTGTTAAGAGCAAGAAGACCTATGATACCTCGGCTCTAGATGAAGAGAAGCTGCTGAATGAAAGTGGTATTGATCCCCAAGAACTGCCGGCTGTCATACGTGAACGTTATGTATTGGGTCAAATTATTGGTGATGGTAATTTTGCCATTGTCCTAAAATGTAAAGATCGTCAGAGTGGCTTCACATATGCTTTGAAGATTATCGACAAAAGCAAGTGCAAAGGCAAGGAACACTATATTGATGATGAGGTGCGTGTTATGAAAAAATTATCACATCCCCATATTATTTCGTTAATAATGGATGTTGATCAACAAGCTAATATGTATTTGGTGCTTGAATATGTTGGTGGTAAGTTGTTGAGCGAATATTCGGTTTTATTTCTTTTTTAATTTATGAATTCTTTTTGTATATTTCCTTTTCCTAGGTGGAGATTTATTTGATGCTATAACACGTGTTACCCGCTTCTCGGAAGATCAATCACGTGTTATGATTAAACATTTAGCATCGGCTATGGCTTATCTACATTCCATGAGCATTGTACATCGTGACATTAAACCGGAAAATTTACTGGTAAGTAAAATCAATGAAATTATATAAAAACTCGATATTTTTGGCAAAATTTCAAATTGTTGCATAAATCGTGTCTGTTATAAAAAAAAAACCACAAACGGATCAAATTAGAATGCTCCTTGCTGTTATCCCTTTAAGATCCAAATACATTCAGCCTTATTCTGGATATTAATTCAACGTGAATTTGTTCGTTCTTCGCTTTAAAATTATTCTGAACCAGAACTCGCAGCGAATTATTTGTCATTTTCGTTTATGCCTTATTATCAATCAAGTTCGAAAGCGAACAATCCACTTTAGTTATTAGTTATTCTAGATTACAGAGAGTGGGAGAATGTGATGACACTTTTTCGCTAATTGGAGCTGACTATAAAAATAAAGGGAGCTAACTATAAAAATATAAGTATTAAATATTTTTATGAAAAATATCTAGACAATAAACAAATAAAATTCCATTGGAAATATTGCCACGGAATGTATAACAATTAAAAAAATCATTAAATAAAATATTGGAAAATATTACAAAATTAAAATACAATAGAACAACACACATTACAACTTAAACTGCAATATGGCTACACGAACCATTTTCGAAAGTTCGAATCCACATCTCGCATTTTTTGCTTCTCCTTATTCATTCAGAATAAGGCGACAATTTCACTGCGAAAAATTTTTCACAAGCAAAATATATCCCTATCGAATATCCAGAATAAGGCTGATTAATAATTTTCCTGATGTATTTGTAGGAAAATTGAAACATAAGCCATTTGTTAAGTTTGTTCCCAGATATTTTTAGTTTATATATTCTAAGGGGATAACAAAGCAATACCACGCAAATAAAAATTATTTAACAGGCCCATACGCAAGTTTATACTACCTTCTCTTAACAATTGTCAGATCTCACAATTAAGCTGGGTCGGAATGAGTTATGAGAATATGGAGCAGAATATGTGTATTCTTTTGTTTTGTTTTCATTATGAGAATACGAATTATGTATTATTTTGGTATTTTTCGGCAAGATAAATTTTCCGTCGTTCTATACACATCCATTTGCAATATGAGATTTGTTTCTGTTGTCATCGTCATACGAGTGATCCCTGCAGTCGCCTCACAAACACAAGTAGCACTTAACAGCTCATGTATCGATTTTACGAACCTTAAATGCTGGATTTTTGCGGTGAAACGGCATTTGTATCTGCAATAAGATCATAGAGTCAATTGACTTAATAAGGCGGAGAACTGACACAATTTTGACCCCTTTAAAGAAGAATTCTCCAGCTTAGGCTGTGATTTGGACTTAGTCACAGCAAGCTTCGAGTAAAACAGTTTTCACGAATGGCGAGCACGATAACCCAAAAACTATTAATCAATCCAATCCGTTCCAAATCTCAACACGCCATTCTGTACATACATACATGAACTACAGTCGAGTACGTTTATAACGAACACCGGTTATAACGAACTTTTCTTATAGCGAACACTTTTCCGGGTCCAAAAGTTTTAAGACATATTTTTCATACAAATTCTTACTCCTTATAACGAATTATTTATCAGATCCCAACATTCAGATTTCATATATTTTAATTTGATTATAACGAACATGCTACAAATATTTTCTCACACTTGGCACATACGGACATGGGACTTAAGGTGTCCTCAGTGAATTTTATGAAGACATGCCAGTTGGCTTAATTATAATTAATAATGGTACGTTGGACGGACTCCACAAAATCGCTGGGTTTCTCTACATTGGGACTGGTGGCCAAAACTAAAGCAGCTGCAAATTGAATAAATGACCTGTAACTTTTTTGAAAATGAAGTTATAGTGAAAGTTTTTTTTTCAGAAAAAATGGGTAAATTATCCACTAAATATATATCGACGCCTCCGAACCATAGTATGCTAAGTCTGAAAAGTGAGTTTTTCTTACGTGCCATGCTAAGTACATTTTTGCTTATAACTTTGGTTTGGATTGGCCGATGATTACCAAAATTTCAGAGAATATAAATTAAGAACCGTAGTATCTAAAAACGTATAGAACTTTAAAACATGCTAAGTCGACTTAGCATACTATGGTTCGGAGGCGTCGATATATGGGCAATATTCACCCCTATTCCGTATGTCGTCGTTGTCGACGACGTTTCTCTTTCGACATCACTTCGCATCGACATCGACATCACTTCGACACTGATTTGGTATTCTGTAACACTCATGCGACGATGCACTATGTCGCGAGTTCATATAAACAGCGGCCAAAAATAGAAGGAGTTATCGTAAGTTAAAGAAATTTGGTACATGTGCTTATTATTGGCCTAAAGATCAACTGACTGAAACTGAAATTGGATAGATCGGACCAAGATTTCGTATACCTCCCATACAATGGGTCTTGAGAATGTCACCCTTTTTGGCCTATAAAATCTTTAATATTCAAACAAATTCAATGAAAATTGGCAATTTACATTTAATTAGGCCTCTAAAGCAACTGACTAAAAACTGGGTAGATCGGACGAAGATTTGATATACCTCCCATACAAAGGGTCTTGAAAATTTTACTATTTTGGGCTATATAATCTTTAATATTCAACCAAATTCAATGAAAATTGGCAATTTACATTTACTTATGCCTATAAAGCAACGGACCAAAAACTGGGTAGATTGGGCCAAGATTTGATACACCTCCCATACGAAGGGTCTTGAAAAATCCGCTTTTTGGACCATAAATTTTTTATATTCATCCAAATTACAGGAAATTTTTCATGTCTTCTTCCAAATTACATCAAAGTAATAGGTGCTGTAATTTAGTTGTTGGCTCATATTTCAGGTACCCACCATACCAAAAGTCCCTAAAAATTTAACTTTCTGTACTATAAAATCGTTATATGCAGCTAAATTAAAATAGTAGTAGTTTTATTTTTGTTATTTTTATTATAATAAAATATTTGATATACATTAGTTACTAATAAATTACTTTTTTATCATTCACAAAATTTTCAAAACACACATCAGAGATATATATAAAATATTGTCTTCCTAAATGTACGATTTAGTATTATCCACGTTATAATCTCGGGCCTTTACTTTATGGCTGTTTAAGGATATTACAAGGTCGGATTGTAATATAAAATTCTAAATATCCTTATTTAACTCGGCTTTAACAAAAGTTTGGGCTGCTACTAATTATTTGTTGGCATGACTTGTTAGCATCTTGTGAAAGTCGCTCAAAAGGTATTGTACTGCACTTTGCATATCCCATGCCATGAACTAATATTTTTCTGTATGAACATTCCACAAATGTAATTCATGTGCGACATCTAAATTTAGATTATAAGATTATGTCTCAAATGATCTGATAAATAAGTATAATATTCAAGCTGACTGAAAATTCATTTAAAAGCTTTATTTTAAAACCAATTCTCCCATATCTTCGCTTCGAATAACGTTTTTACCACTTAATTGCAAATTTTATGTAAAATATTGTATTATTTCTATGTTCTGAATACATATTCTCCTTCCTATTTGACCCTCAATAACTTATTTAATTGTATACATAACATATTTGACCATTCGCTTCTAACCATTTCATGAATATGTCATATTTTTTCATAAGGTGGTCACCAAAAAAGTTAAATAACTCTTAGGACCGCAGGATTCCGCAGCTAATTTTTTTATTCCTTAAATAACACACTTTTCACCACTCAAATAAAAAAAATTAGAGCTAACCTTTTTAAAACTTTTTTTTTCTGCTCCACTAATTTCAAAATTTGTTTTAAAAATTTGATGAACTAAGTACTACAAGTGTGGACGACTGTATACACCATATGATATCTATATACATACAAACTAAAGCGAATCCTAGTTTTTACATCCACAGCAACCAAAATAATCACTTTTATAATAACCGTTAATTTGAATATTCAAATATTTGAGCATCAGAAAAACACACCCATTTTTTCAAAAATATGGTAAAAAATCAGTTTATAAATAATTATCAGATTTGAACCTTTGTAGAGACAAAACTACTTGACATATCGATATAAAATTTCATATTTATTATAATTGGAGTGTTTTCTATCAATCCTCATCAAAAAATTTGTCCTCCGTGGTACTTGGTTTTGACCATTTTTGCCCGCGGTCGTGACACTGTGCGATGTCGACTATTTATCGATATTTATGTTTATTTTGTTGCATATTTTTGGGCAAAAATATGTTTGTATCCTTCACCGCACTGTGGCACAGGGCATTAGTCTTGGTAAATGTTTTTGCAACGACCAAAAAGAAACGAGATACACCCATAGTTACTTTTTAGTATATATGAAATTTGGAAAATTGCATCCAATTGGGATGACATTTTATTTGGCCCATAGACGATTCCTGTTGACATTGGTCAAAATCAATTCAGATTTATATATAGATCCCATATATTTTTCTATATTTACACTTTATTTTGCATTTCGTATTGAATGATGTATCCTGTTCTTGTCCGGTCATTTTTTTTTTTTTTTTAATTTCTTAAGAAAAAAGTTGTTCAAACACTTCAGTCGTCAACAAAAATTATGACGAAGAAATCTTCGACATCGTCGTCGTCACACATTGTTACGGAATACCAAAAATGTTTCAATAGTTATCGATAAATGTCGACAACGACATAGGGAATACCAATTTGCAAAAGACGACTCTCTTCGACGTCGTTTTGTGTCGACGACGACATACGGAATAGGGGTGATTGCCAATTTTTTAACAAAGCTGAAGCGGAGGTTTACCCCTTTATAACTCGGGAATTTCTTAAGTATATGAAAAAAGCAAATAGTTTTGGGTTAATTGATCTGTCGTTGCAAACTGTTCTTGATATTGACCTCCAAACTTTATTTTGGTGGAAGCTGTGTCTACTTTAATGTAAAAAATGTGTAAAAACAGGTTGACGCGAACCAGTTTTTTTATGTTCTCTATCGATTTGTGATTAAGACTCTCATTTCACGGTCTTCGTGTCAAAGTAAAACTAGAAGCCAACAAAATGGGGACTACGCCCTTATGTATCATTTTTCAAAATTTTAACTGCATCTACCTTTAAATTATGCTGAGATTTTGAAGCTCGATTTTGAGTGTTTTTTTTTTAATTTTACTTCTAGCTTTAATACGCAACAGGAATTTCTAAAAATCGATTTTAAGATTATTGTAGTCGCGAATCTGCGTAATTTGATAAGTATTTTGTGTATGTAGTATGCACAGCTTCAGAGTAATACTCATCCGATGGTGAAAATTTTGTGCGATCAAAAAACTATTTTTCGTGCCAAATTTTTAGAATGTCAACTGAATGATATGGGTACCCGCGATCAATAAGGTTTTTTTACGTTTCGGATGATATAAAATCTTCTTCGTGAAAATCCATCTACTAGAACGGCGGGAACTGGCCTTCCAAAAACACGCGGATTTATTTGCGTTTTCTGTAGATCATTTCCGCTTCAATAAATGACCTCATACGGATTTTGATATTTTTCGAAAAAAGAACTTTAAAAATTTCAGCTGTAAGAGAGATGTACCCAATTTATCTCAAAAATAGTGTGAGCTGGCACTTAGCCGTCAAATGAAAATTCGCAAAACATACATGGATTGGAAGATAAACTGCAGTACTTCCTGAAAACCACATGCGCACCAAACGATTTTGAGAATTACGTGATTTAGACGTTATTTAAAAAATATATTTCATAATATTATTTTATTTTAAGATTTATTCCTATTTATAGAACCCCAAGATTTATCGGAAGGGTCTTGATATAATACGCAAGCCGTATACTTATACACAAAAAGTGATTATTATTATATATCACGAATTCCACAAAAAGGTCAACCACACAGGTGAAAAATCAATTCGTTAAGAGAGATATGAAATTATATAGGAAATATTCTTTGCAATCCGGACTATATATTTTTAGTTGAATTTTGAAAAATAACCGTAGTTTTTCTTTTCGTTGTACCATTTTCGCGTGGAGAGTAACTTGGGCATATTTTTATTAGTTTTAGAGTGTCATTTGTCGTAAGTGTGAACGCTGTTAGCTAAAACAATATCAATAATAAATATTAAATTCAAATAAAGTAATATCTTACTAAGAATTGCACATATATAAACCTATACATATACCAAGAGAATCCCGTGGTAAGTGCAGTTAAATAGTGTAAGAAAATATGTAACGCGTGCGTGACAAAATTAGCATATGTTTCTATATAGACTCTAATATGAGAATTTTTTTTGATAATGCTGTTATGTGTGGATCTTGAGATGACAAATTCAAATAAAACAAAGTTTGTCTTCTATCTCCATCGAACAAATTTATATCCGTCACGCACATGTTACATTCTTCCTCAATAAGTTGCTTTAGAACCGAATTTACAGGCAAAAATGTCGTCCATAACTGCATAATGATTTACCAAAGTTCTTGGGGCCACACAAAGCTATAATATCCTGACAACATAGTTGTGTGGGGTATAAGAACTAGCATTTTTAAAACATTCTGTTTTGAATTTAATTTTTTTAGTACATGTGTGTGTAACAGTGCGTTACGAGTGTAACATGTGCGTGACGGTGTTCAAAGTTAAAAAAGTATATCTTAGAAATTTTTTTCTCAAAAAAATTGAATGTCAATATAATCTTGAATAACCCATTATAGCTGTAAAAAAAATCCGCAATTTTATCTCCAGCCAATTCGCAGAAATTTCATATCGAAACTGATATCCAATTTTTAAAGGGAAAACTTTGTAGCGCGTGCGTACGCTAATTTTTTCTTAATATCTCCGACATTTACAAACATATTTATAAAAAAATTAGCAGGTATTGTAAAAGGCGTAAAACTATTTAATAAAAATTGCGAAAGAAATTTCGGAAACAAATTTTTCTTAACTAAACAAACGATTATATTTCACACGCTGTAACAGTGCGTGACATGGAATTCGTGATATGTCAATTTTTCGTCGAAATTCGGGTAAAATAGCAGAATAACCCCAAACCGCTACACGGGCTTGTTTGGAAAACATGCAAAATAGCGTAAAAAATCATATGTTTCCGTGCTTATAACTAATAACGTAACTTATATTATGTGACTCCGATATTTGAAAAACATGTTTGGTGGCATAACCACGTCGTTTAATGACTAGCACATCTTCTTGGCATGGACTGGATTAAATGATCTACTATGTCTTTTGGGATGTCATTCAAGGCAATATAGAGATCCTCGTTTTTTTAATTTGATTTCCAATTTTTCGTTTTACAATTTCCCAACGGTTCTCTATGGGATTTAGTTCAGGTGACTGAGCCGGCCAATCAAAAACACACAGTTTTGCATGTGATATTTATCACTAACTAATAAGAAAAAGGCATTTCCCAAGATGCATATGATAACATTACGTCAGATCTTTTCTTTCATTGATTGTATGAATCGGACCAATTCCTTGTCCCGTAAAACACTCCTAGACCAAACTATTACCACCACCATGTTTTACTGAACCCTTAGTATATCTTGAGTTGAGACTTTCACCTTTTGGCCTACGCACCAAACAGCTGCCATCCGATCCGTGCAAATTAAATTTAGATTCAAAAGAAAATAGAACACATTTCCGCTTCGAGCTAATCTATTTTTCTTTGAAATGAATGGTTTGAGCTCATCTGTTTGTACTGTAGAGTTGCTTAAGTTTTGTCCAAGCAAAAATTGAGACACTTCACTTATTTATTAATTTCATAATGAATTTTGCATTAATGCCTTTGTTTTTTTTTTTTAAGTGAATAAAGTACTCCATTTAAATCTGAAAAAAACCAACACAATATCTTTATTTTTAAAAAAGTCATGAGGCATTTATTATCATTGAATTTCAGTTGCTTTAGTTTTGGCCACCAGTGTATATATATATATATATTACTGTATCTAACAATATGAATCTTGGGAACATCTCTTGTATTTACCCAATACCCGAATTGTCAACTTTTCATACTGGTTTAAACCTGGAAAACATCAATAGAGCTTTTCTAGGACGGTGTTACTGGAACTCAGTCTATATAATTGGTATTTGGTCTTAACTATCTATCATTTAAAAATGAAAATATTTATCTCCGTTAAAGTTTTTCTTTGCAGAACTCTCTCCTATGTTTTGAAATAACAATGAGTTCTCCTCAATTTGCCAAACCAACCAGTATACAGATTAATGTACATATAGTTGGTGGCTTCGAAATTTCCATAACGACTTTGTATTATGTTAATAATCTGTTTTAAAACCCCTTTTTTTCTCTTAAAGGTTGAACTTGACGATAGTGGCAATGTTATTGTTTTAAAATTAGCCGATTTTGGTTTGGCCTGTGAAGTAAACGAGCCACTATATGCTGTATGTGGTACACCAACATATGTGGCTCCGGAAATCCTAATGGAAACCGGTTATGGTTTAAAGGTAAGTAAAGCAGATATATCCACATACATAACACACAAATTCGGAATGGATAATTTCAATTTTTAATTTTTCTATTGTAATATCTCTTCTACCATAATAACAGATCGATGTATGGGCAGCCGGTATTATTTTATATATACTCCTGTGCGGTTTCCCACCATTTGTTTCGCCCGACAATCAGCAGGAACCGCTGTTCGATGCAATTATCTCCGGTATTTATGAATTTCCCGATCCCTATTGGTCGGGCATTGGCAATGGTGTGCGCGATCTCATTGCCAATATGTTACAATCCGATCCAGATGTACGTTTTACCAGCGAAGATATCCTTGATCATTATTGGACAATGGGTAATGATGACATTATCAATGAATATAGCAGCTGAATGATAAACGATTATTATGATTATCAAGAGAGTGTTGCCTAAAACACAAAAACAACTACAACAGGAAGAAGAAGAAAAAAAACAAATTCCCGCTCTTTATTCGTTTATTAAAAAAAGAAAAACAACAACACACACCTTTATATAATCTGGCTGGTTCAAAACTAACATTTTTTGTTATATGATGGCAGATATATAAACAAAAAAACGAAAAACAAAGGAAAAAATATACATGCATATATAGGAAAAAACAAATACAATTAATAATAACAACAACAAAATCGAAAATAATAAGCCTGTAGTATTTTTTTATTTTATAATTAAATTATTTTTTATTTTATATTTTAATTTTATTAATAATGTATTTAAACAAAAAAATAAATGCTATAAAAATCCATACCTTTACAACAACCTTTGCAACAACAAAACAAATAATCTATATTCCATTTTAAATTAAAACTAAAAAAAAAAGAAAATAATTCTTAGAACGCAAGGCAAAGGAAATATTTCAAATTTATAAATCAATAAAGAACGACCTTATGAAATATTAACAACAACAAACAAAATTTATATTTTTTAATTATATATAAATATTATTATTATTTTTTCTAAACAATATATCTTCTACATTTTATACATATATCTCTATCATCTATCCAATATATATTTTTAAGTATTTAATTTTTAATTATTTTTTATGGAAAATATATTTTTAAACTTACCTTTAAAAAATGCAAATTGTTTCTTATTCAGCTTAGATTTTAAATCACTTTTATTACTACAAAAACGAGAATCCAACAACAACAAGAAACAAAACAATATTTGTGTTTGTACAAATAAATGAAATTTGTTTAAAAATAAAATTTTTGATAGAAGTCTTCTGCAAATCCAAAAAAAAATCAAATGTAACAGTGAAGCAATTTTAATATATTTATTTTATAATTATTTTTTATATACGTACATATAATCAATTTAAAATTCCATAAAATTTCTTTCACATTTTGTACAAAAAACAAAAATTATAAAATTAATAAATTATATTAAAATATGTATTACACTGTTATATAAATAAACTTTATTTTATGTTATTATTAAAATATATTCAATTTTTTTAAATCGTTGGTTGATTTTTTTTTAATTTTTTAAATAATTTTTTTCCTTGCCGACTGGAAAATAATAAACAGAATTAAATGTAGTCTGAAATTCCCCGTCAAATTTAATCTAAATTTGATAAGTTGAGACAATATACAGCGTCTCCTTCGATTCGAGATTATCTATCAAAAAATAATGAGGTATTAGAGCTGATATAGTGAATGAGTGGAGCGGAAGGGGGTTTTCAAATAGATGTGAAGACATACGAGGTGATCATTTTTTCTCCACTTAGCTAAGCAGATGTAATATTTTTGCAAAATATTTTTTACATATCATTGCACTAGAAGTTTTTTGTTGTATATATTCGACTATGCGGCTACCTTAAGTTAGGTTTCAGCTAAAAGTCAGTCGTAAATGATTTTGATGTTTTCCATTTAAAACAAAAAAAACTGATTCTGCTGTATACTGTTATGGTTGTCCTTATATCTTTTCAGGCCAGATAGATTTTGAGGTTCATAAAACTTGCGAAATGTTCCAAAAAAAGTAGCTAAGTTGAGGTCTAAAAGTGTCATCAATTTTCAAATCAATTGATTGCGGTCCACAACGAACAACAGCAACTTCATGTTCTTTAATGTCACTATGACCTGGAATCCAAAAAAAAAATCTAATAAAATGCCGTATATCCGACAGAGCAAATTTGCCGTCATAAACTACCGCATGACTATCCTCACAAATATACACCCATATTCTGGACATCAATTCACCGTGAATTTGCTCGCTCTTCCCTTTAAAGGTTATTTTGAACCAGAACTCGCAGCGAAAAAAATCCGCTTTGGGGGTAAAACAATTATTCAGGATAACAGGGAGTGGGAGAATGCTATTACATTTGATGTGAAATTGTTCGCTAATAAATTAAAAGGAAGTTGACTATAAAAATATAAGTATTAAATATTTTTATGAAAAATATCTCTACTATAGTTATTCGATGACTATCTTGAATATTATAAATGATTCTACGCAGGGTATAATTATTACAAGGTAGGGCACAGCTACCAACTGATTACAATTTTTTCTCAAGGTGGCTTGTTCCATCAAATCAAAATACATATTTTGTGTATGTGTGTGTATTGTTTTGAATACAATGTCAAATAATTTCAAAATAAACTGAAATATATTCAAATTTAATTGAAATGAAAATGATGTTTTTAACACGTTCGTCTAGAAGTAATTACTTTGTTATGGATGAAACAAACATTTAATAGTATTCGCTACTTTTTTTTGTTATTCACCTCAAGCTGTCCTACCTTGTATTATTGTACCATGGTTCTACGTATTTTTTTTTTTTTAACTCAAAAACAATAAATAAAATTCAATTGGAAATATATTACAATGGGACAACACACATCAAAGCTCAAATTACAATATGGCAAATTTTTTTCAACCACCATTTTCGAAAAATCGAAACTCCCGTTTTTTGCTGTTCGCTTTCGAAACCACTCCCTTGCGAATGTCCAGAATAAGGCCGATTATTGGCATATCGTTTGACTCATGCCAAGTTATTTTTTTTACGGATGTTTTAGGCATGAGACGTGCGGCATTGAATATTGTTCCAAAATTGTAAAATTTGGAGGAAATCCAATAGCATGGCTCAAATTATAATATAGCAGCATTTTTCCCAACCACCATTTTCGAAAAATCGAAACTACAGCTACCGCTTTTTGCTGTTTCCTATTTATATATAGAGGAATCTAAAGCGAAAACTTTTTCGCTTTTGTTGGCATATTAGGCATGAGACGTGCGCCATTGAAACGAAAGTCCAATAATTGTAAAAGAGCCAAGACCGAAAACGGACCATTGGCCCGTTGTGTTTATCCTGATATTTAAAATGGATAGCTGGATATAAGTTGTGATTCTCTAAGCCGCATATGCTTTTTTGGCAAAGCAGTGGATAATGATGGTCACTTGACTGCTTCTCCGTAAAGCTCCACCCCTTTACGCTTTAGAAAAAGTATAGTTATTTAAATACGGTATTTTGCCCGTCAACCAACATTTATGTTTTTTTTTTTCAGTCCCATAAAAAGTGTTGGAATCCACGTTGAAGTCACCATTCCGCACTGTATTTCGTCGACCGCAACGGCCGCCTGCTTACAACCTTCCCCAAAGACATCCATTTTTTATTGAGGTAACACAGTTAATGACGTTGACTCTTTGATGGAAGTGTAACTTCGTCAAACTGTTAATCACAATCTCCCCTTTTTTCCTACACAGATAAATACACAGAAGTTTTTCAAACCAAAATTCCAATTCTGCTTTAAAAATCGTAAGTTAGTAAAGATTTTCTAGTGAAACCCACATTGCAACAAAGTATTCTCAATGAAATCACCAGTTCAGCAAAATTTTTCAAACAAAAATTAAATTCAAACGGGAATGCTCACTTTACTCGATTAAATTTGGAAGGGATTTACTCTGTCTAGTTGAAGCTACAAATATCATCGATAGTGGGGTCTACGATCCGAAATTATTAGAGTTTCACTAGGTCAACGACAGTGACCTCCGCGCATTGTGTAAAAGCAGTAGGGCTGCTACAACAACAAATGATACTTTGGAAAGTGTGAGAATGATAATTTGTTTTCCATTATTTATTCCACTTGGGAACATAGGACAGTCAATGTTTTTAATCTCTTACCATGTTTGTTAATTTTTCTTATTTCTAGAGCAATTTGCCACGTATTTATAGGAATGCCAGATCTTCTCGACTTTTTCTGTGTGCGTGACTATCCGTTCCTTTTTATAATCTTGTGTTCAATGGGTGATTCGTTCGTGTTATTCTACAGTTCCATATTTTATATTTTGTTGGACCGAAGTATATGACTAATAATACGCTCAAATTTATGTATGAAGGCTTTAACTCTTGATTTTTGTAACCAAGTATCACTTTCGTATTGAATATACTTAATTTTGGTCGGAGAGATAATTGCGGCGATTCCATGTTTTATTTAGGCGACCTGGCTTTGTTCAATCTATTCCTTAACATCATCTTCTAATCTTCCATCTGAATTCTCATGAAATCACACAAAAGAAATCAGCGCCATCTATATGTATTATTTCTCTACTACATATTATTGTTCTCTAATTATTAGTCTGTTTTTTTGTTTTTAATCTGCAAAAATCCATTCCCACTATATAAATTTAGACAACTTTGTCAGTTTTTATGAAGACGTCCTATATCAATTTTTTTTTTGTTATTTTTATAGCCTTTCAATAATTTTTAACAAAAATACCTTTAAATTTATTTTCGATTTATTCTTTATTTTTATATATAAAATCTTTATTATAATTATTATTTTTTGTAATAAACGTATAAAATGAAAACACCAATTATAATATAACATATAAAGAAAAAACAATAAATACATACAATATAAAACAAAACAATTAAAAACGTATATAATGACGACGTATATATGATGTTAAGAGAGCGAAATATGTAACATGAAATTTCAATTATTATTTATTATATTTGCATATTTTACACACAACAAGAAAAACAAAACAGAATAATAAAACTCCCCCCAAAAATCAAGTAATAACATTGAAAAATTTGCGGCTATAAATTATATACAAAATAAAACAAAAGAAATAATGAATGAAAATAAAATATAACTAAAAAGTATATTTGAAACAATTTGTTTTCATTTAGTTTTAGAAATATGGAATATTTTTTGCAAGAATAATTGCAAAAGGCAAACAACTGGATATTGCACCATCTAGAGCAAAATGGTTGCATTACAAAAGCAAGGACTCCCACCACCTAACAATAATGCATATAGACGTTGTTCCTCGTTAACGATAGATGGCGGACTACAGTAAATCAAGTTCTTTACTGAAAATATTTTGGATAAGCCATCACTGTGTGATGGTTGGTATGACGCGGTCGATTGCATGTCAGAAGGAACTGTCAATAACACATTATGTTGCTTGGTCTTCTCATGGAGATGATCGGCGCTCGTCATCTGTACACACCCGGTTGCAATTCGGAGTGCATTATTTTGAATAGTTTGCAATGACCGACCTACATTTTGTGTCGCTAAGGAAAGAAGTTCAGACCGGGCAGCATAATTAAGGATGGAACGTTACCAACCTTTCTTCATTCTTGCTACATGAGGTGTCAGCCAAAATTTCAGAACTTTAGTCCTAGCTTTCACCTTCTGGTTGACATAACTGGAATGCAAGGAGAAATTAAGAACCTTGTCGAAGACCTTGGCGATGGTCTTAGATTTTCGTATTATGGACTATGGTGGGGATACGCCTTTCTTCAATGGAAATGTAAGGTTCTAAATTGACTTCTTGCAGTGGTTAATTTTAGATTGCGCTCCCGGAAGAAGTTGGTGATAATGACTAAGTTGTTGGAAACGTTCTATATGTAAGGAACTACCAACCCAGCTCTATTATACCAAGCTTCTTATGCATATACACAGAAAACCCGTCTTGACCAAGGGCTTTGAATGTTGCTGTGAATGATAGGTGCCGCAAGTCTCGTTTAAGATTCTTGCATCTCCGGATAACTGCTCCCTTAATTCTATTCTGCTAAGATGAATGCTCAATGAATGGGCGATAGAACTTCAATGCGCATTTGTTGGCATCTGACTTGTGACTTGACTTGTTACTTGTGTGAAAGAAGAGAAATTGGCTCCACGAAATTATTTGTTTTTTTCTACAGTGACCAGGATGGGAATACGGTCTGAATATAAAGAGAACTTGGTTTGCCAGGAAGTATACAGAATGAGCCTTGGACTCACTATAGTAATGTCCGGGGAGCTCGAACACCTATCAGTGACTCTGGAAAAGGATTTCTCGATGATAGAAGCGAAATCGGATTCGTATATCTGGTTTTCAATAAGAATGCCGCGAGGATCATTTGGAAGTTGAGAAAACCACATCACATGATGAGCGTTGAAACCGCCAAGAACAATTTTATTATCTTCCTGCAGCTTGGATGATAACTGGCCCCAAAGCTGTTGACGGGCGAAATATAGACATTGACAATCTCAATTTCAGAATGTTCGGAATGAACTGAAATGATCATAACTTCTAGAAAAAGATCAGACTGGGAAGGACCGGGAGGGGAAGTTAGGGTGTAGCTGACATCCCGTTGGAAAATGAATGTCAGACCCCCAACATGGCCTCTATCCCTGTCTCGCCGAATACTGTTGTAATTCCCGGAGGAGGATAGGGAACAACTGCTGGTCAGCTCCTTTTCTAGCAAAGTTGCAATGAGGATGTTGTCTTTAGCATGATTAAGAATGAGGTATTGGGTCGCTGTTGCTGTAGGTGTCCTTGAGGAGGCAGGTGTATGGATTAATCGGCAAACTTTCTTTTTTAATTATTATTCATACATTCTAATGCCAATAAGTCTTTTAGACCAAAGTCGACATCATTTTAAGTACAAGTTTTTAGCATATATACATGACCAAGCAAGAAAAATATTTTATATTCTAAATTCATATTAATTACAATTTAACAAGGATATATATGATATAAATTGAACTTGGCTCCCCAGCCAAAGAAAATAGGAAAACTTGAGGAAATACCTATAATTTGTTGATAATTACACCCATACTAATGAATCAAATTAACTTTATTGACATACAATAAATAATGTTTAAATGTACAAGTTTTTAGGTTATTCATATATACACGATCTATCATAAATTAATGACCCAAAGCGAGGAAGGAGAACTTGCGGATTTCGTGTAGATCGAGATAAGGTGATCTTTGTGTGAACAAAGCCCGAATTCCTATTAATTACAATTTAACAAAGATATATATGATATAAATGGATTCTAGTTGGTATCCCCATTATTAAGAAAATCGGACAAAGCTTCCTGAAGAGGTCCATTAGGAGTTCTGGGCAGGTTACTGAGAAGGGATAATTCCTCGGGGGTATTGGAGATAATGTGCTGGATGTTGTTGGCTGCAGGCAACAGTTGGCAATAAAGCTGTGCGACCAGTCGTGGTGTGAGGTGACTCCAAATCTTGCAAACATTGCATCGTACTAAGGTAGAATTTGTAGCGATGTGTACATGACACACAGAACAAAACCAGACATCAGGACCTGGGCTTTGCCAGCACGAGTTAAATGAATGACGAGCTAACCTGCCGACGTGATTTGCTCACCTCGTTTGGTACAGCTGTCGCTGAGTTGACAATTCCTGCCTAGTTGAACACGGGTTAGTCCGGAGCTGAGATCCGATTTTGGTGCAACGTGCAGTTTAGTAGTTGTCCTACTTGGTTAAACCTTCTTTCCTCCAGTTTTCTCACTAACATTTCTAACCGACACCGAAGCATACATAACATACAATAAACTGTCTGTGTGATCCAGTATTCTCGTTTCTGATTTCGTCTAGTTAAAGCAGCAACATTTGAAAAATTTGATTCTCTCTCGACTATTTCTCAACTCTATTTAAATATATTTCTTTTTTAATTTTTTCATTTTATTTATAAGCATATATTCGTATAAAAATACACATAAAGCTTAAATAGTTATTGGTAAATAAAAGTTATAGCTAACAGTTTGTTTTCTTTAATTTGTAAATACAATATTATTTGTTTGTTCAATAAATAAATACGCTAAACATTATTGCATTTTTTATGTAGAAGTATATATACGAGTGTCTATGTGTGTGTTTTTGTAGCACACACTCTTTATACATATTCACTTAATCGCAATTTTCTATATTAACTGTACATACATCACAACGTTCCTGTATAAATCGTCCCGGTACACATGGCTCATGGTAGATATGACCACATTGAAATGCCACAATTGCATTACTGGGCATTCCATCTTTGCACAATATTAAACGGCCACATTTCGGACATGTGCTATCGTAGCTGATGCCAATGCCACGATGTTGTTGTCGCACTATTTGCGCGTGGGTATTATAATAGTCCAGCAATTGGATTTTATTAATATCTTGTTGAATGTTAACCTAAAAAGAATTACATAAGTAACTGATAAAGAAAAAATCTATATCTGACTGCTTCAAAAATATCCAAAGTATTAAACAAAACATGGATGACAGTATACGATTTTGAAAATTTGAAGCAGAAAGATTTTTATTTTTAAATACCTGTAAACGATAATCCATTAACAATTTGAACAGCGATTCTCGTAGTTTTGGTATTATTTGACCCATTTTTATTTTGTTGATTAAAAATTCGGGGTTTACATAACCTAAAAAACAAAATATAACAAAAACAAGTCCATGTAATCAGTTTAGATTTTATTTCAGAGCTAATTTGAAAATAATTTAAATTAATACAATAATTTTAAAGCTCTTGAAAGGATCGACGTAACTGACGCATACGAAGCAATTTGCCGTGCTTCGAGCGACTGCAAATGGTTGCATAGTCACCGGTTGTGTTAGAGTGTGGGTCCTCTTCCTGCTTAGTATTCGCCAAATTTATTTATCCACCAGGAACGGTTCAATTGTCTTAACCCTGATGATTTTGGCAACTTAACATCAGTCGAATTTGCAGGTTTGCGTTGTTACTCAAAGGGGGATTGAACATCTACAGTAACTTACTCTCTTTCGCATTAAATAATGGTACCAAGGACAATATTCAGAGACCGCTTGGAGGGTTCTGAACGATTATAAGCCGTCTCTTTCCCGGTTGTGCTTAGACTACTCACAGTCTACTCCTGCTTTGGAGGGGTAATTGAGCCAGCCTTCCGATAAATCTTCCGATTGAATTTGAGGTTCTTTATAATCAGATGATATTCTTTATTATTTATTGCCCGGTTTTGTACCCGATTAATGATCCAGCAATATTAGCTAGTTGAGTCCTTCCAGTACAACAGCTAGCACTTCGTATAGCTCTCCACGCGGTAGTACTGCTACTAGTGTTAGAGCTAGTTATTCTACTAGCTTCAGTTCTGCTGCTAACGCCCCAGATCCTCGCCGTATTCTTATTGCGAACCAGATAGACGAATCCGATTTCGCTTCCATCAACGAGAAATCCTCTACCAGAGTAATTGTTAGACGTTCAAGATCTCTGGATATTACTATAGTCAGTCCATCGCCCCTTCCGTATACATCCTGGCAAACCAATGTCGATTTAAATTCAGACCATATTTCCATCCTGACCACAGTGAAGAAACCTAACGACTTCGTGGAGACCGATCAGCGTACATACATGAATTATAATAAAGCCAATTGGCACGGCTTTATAAACTTAATGGAGGACTCCTTAAGTTCTATTCCGCCACCCGTATGTGCCAGAAAGACTGAGAAAATATTCCGTGAAATTATTCCAAAAACGGCAAAAGGCCTCATTCCTGCGGGCAGAATTTCTCTAATGAAACCAAATTATCCAGACACATCAACGAGACTAAATTCGTGCAGAAAGCCTCGTTGACGACAGAATCCCGCAGCTAAGCGCTGAAATGGGTGCTTTAGTACTTAATCATATTCTAAATGGTTAAAATACCTTAACCAATGCAATATAAAAATGTGTATTGCATTTCTGCCGCCAATTCATTGAGCATCCATCTTCGTAGAACAGGATCGAGTGAGCAGTTATCCGGAGTTGCAAGAATCTTAAACAAGACTTGAAGCCCCCAACATTCAAATCCAGCGAGGTAGAGACAAATATATACAAAGCCAAGCCAGTCAAAGACCTTGGTCCAGACGACATTTCCATGTTCATTTTAAAGAAGCTTGGTGCAATAGGGCTGGGTTATATACCAAAATTCTCGAATTATGGGGGTTACAGTTTTAATTCCTGACATTTGGAAAGTAAACAAAAAAACCCGCTGCCAATGGGGAATCCTACCGCCCGATTTATATTCTTTCACCAGTAGCTAAGGTTTTAGAATCCCTATTGCTACCGTTCATGAACTAGCATTTCGTTCTTGCTAACCACTTACACGATTTCAGGGAAGCATATAGCACAACAACGGCATTGCAATCAGCGACGAACGCTACGGCAGCCATAGATCTGGCCAAGGCGTTCGATACAGACCTTCCTATCGGTATCAAGCGTTGAGTTCCGTGGCCAAAAATCCAATTGTCGCAAGATCAAAATGGGAATACAGCAATGCGGTTTTCTATCTCCCATTTTATTCGATACGTATCTTGCAAACCCCCCATTTCTCTACCAGATGTTTCAGTGGTGACGTACGCTGATGACTGTGCGGTTATTTGGTCTGACGTTAACATTGACGACGTAAATGCAAAAAAGTCCAACTACTTCGCCACCATCAGCAACTTCTTAGGGGAGCGCAATTTAAAATTATCCATGGCAAATTCTACTGTGTCACTTTCCACTTCCTGGACGTGACATTTCCATCGAAAGTAGGCGTATCCCCTACGTCTATAGTTCTAAACTTCTTGGGGTGGTTTCCGATAACCACCTTCATTCCTCCTCGCATTCCAATTACGTTATCCAGAAGGTGACAGCTAGAAATAACGTTCTCAAAACTTTGACTGGAAAATGAAACGTAGGTAACGACATACAAGACCATCGGTCGTTCCATTCTTAATAATACTGCCCCGGTCTGAGTTTCTTTCCTTAGTGACACTCAGTCTCAAACTACCGAAAGTAATGCACTTCGAATTGCAACCGGGTATGTCCAAATGACAAGCATCGATTTCCTCCATGAGAAGACTAGGAAGCTGTCCGTCAAGCAACATAATTTTTTGTTGACTATACAGTTCCTACTTGCATGCTATCTTTCGAGTCATCCCAACCATAACACAATGATGGCTGATGATCCACCTCCGCGACACATCCGTCAGAACTTTAGGCGCTATCGTGAAGGCATCCAAGGCGTCATTCCATCGAACGTCAACAGAACGTCGATAGCCAACGCAAAAAAATCTCTGCATTTTATTTGGTACGAGCTGTATTGGGAAATAAAACAACGTCTACACGGGATTAAGTAAACTCCAAGAACGTAACAATTGGTGTCGGAAGTGAGATTACGAAGACTTGAAGAAGGAGCTCAATAAATTGGAATTGTCCTCTACTGGCAACAAGGCTGAACTACAAAAACGTCTGTTGAATGAGTTCGAGCGCCGTGGTATGAACATCGATACATATGAGTTTGACAGTAAGGATGAAGTGGATTTATCGGAAATGGGCGAATCCAACGGTGGGGAAGTCTCGCCAGTAGCTGCCAGGGGTGACGATTTCAGAGAAATACTGGCCAAAATGTTTGAGGAAAATTTCAGAAGGTTCGAAGAGAATTCCAGAAAGTCAGAAGAAAACTCGAGACGAATGTTCGAAGAGAATTCCAGAAAGTTAGAAGAAAACTCGAAACGAATGTTCGAAGAGAATTCGAGAATAACGAACGAGAAACTCGAGAACATTACAGAAGTTATTGGAAGGAGAGTGGAAACCGTGGAGGTCCAAATTAAAGAGTTGGATAAGAAAGTGCAGTCGGTTGACGAGAAATTTCTGGTCCACGACCACAGGTTTACGAATCTGGAGAAGAAAATGTCGGAACTGGAAATTAAAGGTGGTCCGGTGCGAGTTCCTGATAACACACTAAAAATCAAACCTCCTGTATTCGACGGCTCTACGAACATAAACAAAACATCTACCTTATGGAATTAAGGGGAAGAGTACAGAGGGCAAACGAGACGTTACAAGACTTTGCAGCTGAGGTGGAACGTTTGGTGCTAATGACGTATCCAGGAGAGAATCACCCATTGCAGGACCGTATGAAAATCGAAACCTTTGTGAATGGCATACGTGACCCTGAGATTAAATGTGCAACATATGCGTAACCAAAAGCGTCATTTGCCGAAACCGTGTCGTTTGCCCTTGCCCAAGAGACGGCAAGAATAATGGTTAAGCCCCAGACCCACAAGATTCGCCAACTGGAGACCGAATGTTGCGAACCCAAATCTCTCGTTAACTCGATCAAGGACGCCATGAGGCAGGTAATAGAAGAAACAAAGTTAGTAGGGATGGCTAAGCCCAGGATTAGATGCTACAACTGCGATAAAACAGGTCATATTGCGCGCGAATGCAGAGCTAAGCGCAAACGATCCAGGTCATTGTCACCACCTCCAACGAAAGATGGTAGAAGAAAGGCTCAACAGTCCACCAAGGAGTCACCGTTAAACTAAATCGAGCCAGTCCAGCATGGCATGAACTGGCTCCCATCGACGATGGCCCCACAATCTCCATAGCAATAGTACAACAGAAAAGTCACAACCTAACAACAACTGGGTACATCAATGGTGACAAGTCCATGGTGCTCCCCAGTGGTCTTGGTCAAGAAGAAAGACGGAAGCACCCGATTTTGTGTGGACTACCGAAAGTTGAATGATGTCACCAAGAAAGACAGCTATCCGCTCCCAAGAATCGACGACACATTGGACACATTAGCCGGGACGTCATGGTTCTCCACCCTCGACCTGCAGAGTGGGTACTGGCAAGTAGACATCGCCGAGAAAGATAAAGAGAAAACAGCGTTTGGCGTTAATGGGGGTCTCTGGCAGTTCAATGTCATGCCATTCGGACTCTGCAACGTCCCGGCTACATTTGAAAGGCTGATGGAGCGTGTGTTAAAATGGCTGCAGTGGAAGTCGTGCCTTTAATACCTGGATGACATCATAGTCATGGGACGCAACTTCGACGAACACATCAAGAATTTAAAGGATGTTCTACAGCAGCTTTCGTCTTCAGGCCTCAAGTTAAACCCAAAGAAGTGCAGTCTCTTCCAACGAGAGGTGATGTTCCTGGGGCACCACGTGACGCCGGAGGGCATATCGACGGATAAGGAGAAAATTCAAGCCGTCAGAGATTGGCCGCAGCCCCGAAATCTCCATGAGCTGCGAAGCTTTCTGGGTCTCTGCACCTACTACCGTCGATTTGTCCCAAAAAGGCCAGAGGTTTTGGTGGGGCAACGACCAAGAAGAGGCATTCAGTAAACTCAAAGACATGCTATGCAGAGCCCCCATTTTGGCATACCCTATACCTGGCGGCAGGTTTGCTCTGGACACAGACGCAAGTGCGTGCGGCATCGGTGGCGTCCTTTCCCAGGAAATCGACGGACAGGAAAAAGTCATCGGGTACTACAGCCGGACATTGTCGAAGCCTGAGAGGAATTACTGTGTGACGAGGAGAGAGCTGCTTGCTGTCCTTGAGAGCGTTAAACACTACCACAAATACCTATATGGCCAGCATTTCCTGCTGAGGACCGACCACGCTGCTTTCCAATGGTTGCTGCAGTTTAAGAATCCGGAAGGTCAACTAGCCCGTTGGATCGAGAGGCTCCAGAGTTATGACTTCAGAATCGAGCACAGAAAAGGCGGAAAACACGGTAATGCTGATGCCCTGTCTCGTCGGCCATGCAAGGTAGAATGCAGGCATTGCTCAAAGGCTGAGAATAAAGAGAGGACGGTAAATCTCACCGGAACTTGATCGTCGTCCCAGACTCCAAAATAAGAGATATCTTGTCGGAGTTTCACGAAAGACCGCTGATTCTACTGGGTCGGCTGTCAAAAATCCATTGCCGACTGGATTGCCAATTGTGAAAGGTGCGTAAGAGCTAAAGGTCCAACACAGAAGAGTCGAGGCTACATGCAGCGGTATAATTCAGGAGCCCCTTTTGAAAGAATCGCAATGGATATAGCTGGACCATTCCCAACAAGCGACTCTGGGAACCGGTATGACTTAGTGGTCATGGATTACTTCAGCAAATGGCCAGAGGTTTATATCCCAAATCAAGAAGCCAGGACAATTGTGGATGTGTTCAGCAAAAATTGGATTTGTCGCTATGGTGTTCCATCGGAGGTTCATTCCGATCAAGGTAGGAATTTTGAATCAGCGATCTTCAAGGAAATGTGTGACTCCTACGGAATCAAGAAAACCAGAACGACGCCCCTACATCCACAATCAGATGGCATGTGGAAAGATTCAATCGCACCCTTGAAGAACATCTACGGAAAGTGGTGGACAGTGGCCAACGAGACTGGGATGAGCATATTCCAAAGTTTTTACTGGCTTATAGATCGGCCATTCATGATTCTACATCCCGGACCCCAGCCAAAGTTCTGTTCGAAAATGAATTAAAGCTACCTGGCGATTTGATATTCGGTGCTACCCCAAACGACGATGTAAACCAAGATGAAGACAGTCAAAACTCTTTTAGTAAAGTCCATGATGCAGTTCGCCATCGAATAAAAAAATGGTTAGCAACCGCATGAAGGCAAGGTACGATCGAGCGGCAAATACCGATGGGTTTCAAGAAGGGCAACTGGTGCTATTGTTCAATCCACAACGAAAAAAGGGACTATGCCCCAAATTGCAAACGCACTGGGAAGGACCCTACAAGATTGTCACGAAAATAAATGATGTGGTTTATCGCATACCGCAAATACCGATGGGTTTCAAGAAGGGCAACTGGTGCTATTGTTCAATCCACAACGAAAAAAGGGACTATGCCCCAAATTGCAAACGCACTGGGAAGGACCCTACAAGATTGTCACGAAAATAAATGATGTGGTTTATCGCATCCAGAGGAGCGACAGTCCCAGGTCGAAAATGAAAGTTGTACATTTGGAGCGGCTGACCCCCTACGGAACGGGAACTGTGCCTATTCGGGACGAACAGGCTTAAGCGGGGGCAATGTTACGAATATAACTTTAGATTTAAGTTAATCTAGATGAATTCCGTTAATTTAAAATTTTGAATTGTAACGTAAATTTCTAATACGCAGTTTATTCGAATAACTTCACAACAACAACTACTGTATAGATTTTTCTACATCCTTCCATTTCCTCTTTCATTGTCTATTTTGTTGTTGACGTACAATTCTTGTTAAACGTCATCATTGATGATCGCTTAATTCCTCCTTCTTTGTTACCCCCTCGCCTGTATATGTGTTTTTATTGTTCACTCAATGTAAGTTTGTATGTGTTTGTTGCATTGGTAGATTGTTCGTAATCTAGGTGTTACCAGATCGTCTAAAAACTTCTGTAGCGACAGGCAAGGCTCATATAAATAGGGGAAATGGAAAGGCAGTAGTCAGTTGTGAATCAGATCGCGAATTGAAACCGTCAAGTAAAGTAAAGTTGTGTCAATAAAATCATTGTAATATTCGTAATCACGTTTTATTTAATACGAACTGTATTGGGAAATAAAACAACGTCTACACGGGATTAAGTAAAATCCAAGAACGTAACAATACGTTCTCCGAGGTCATAAATGGCTACAGATGCAACAAAATCCTACTCCAAAATCTCACTGCAACTTATCTATATTTATAATTATTTAAATGCATTTCTACTTACCAATAATACCATCCAGCAATTTTGTTACAATTTCGGGATTATCTACAGATTCATCTATTAATAGATTCCAAAGATCGGAATCATCATGTTCCTTGCAAAATTCTATAGCCATTTTAATGTCTTTTATCTGCAATTGAATTTAAAATAACACTTCAAATATCAAAACTTGTAAATATTTTACAATAACTACAAACCTTGTGAATAATAATATTCAGGGCCTCCACAACATTACCCATTTGACCTAATAAATATACCGTTTCCGGATAGAACAATTGACTTTTGCATATATCCAAGGCTTCTTGTATGGGATAGTGTTTGGAACGCCGAAGAAATGGTAAAAGTTTTGAACGATTATATTTGGCATACAGACTAACCAATTTCCAATGGAATGTACCGCGGCTATCGACCTTGTCTAAGGCATCTAAATACTGGGCAAAACAAATTATTGACAAATTATTATTTATTATGATTATATATTGTTACGATTTTAAATAGAATTTACTTACCAAATACAAATACTCTTGATTGGATTCCAATTGTTGTACAACAATTTCGGGGGGTATTTTATTTTTATCCAATAATATTTGAAAGGCTCGTTCCTGATCGATTTGTATAAGAGGCATTATCATTTTGTGTATAACACCATAGAGATCATAACGTCTTATTAAATCGAAAACATCCTTATTTTCCAATCTTAAAAAATAAAGAAGTCCAAAATTAATTGTATTATATTACAAAGTATTGAATGATCGAACTTACTTTAAATACATTCTCAGTGCACTTTCATATTCTTTTTTATATGAATACAATATGGCCAATGCCTCCAGCAGTTCATTGGCATGTTGTTTTTGAAAATTATCATGTATTGCATTTATCACCGCCGAACAATCATACAAATTCGATGGCCATTCCTTGATTAATGTCAAAAATCCTTTAACATCTTTTTTCAGAAATTCATATAATACCATTTCATAGACATGCGGATCGAGTTTACAATCATCGGAGGTGGGTAAATAGGCACTAACGGATCTCAGTTGATTATGTTTGACAAATTTGAAGACTTCCTCCTCCCACAATGCCTTATTGTTACCCAAAACTCGGAGGCATAATTTACCAGCGGTATCGTAATGTTTTTGCGATAACAAATGATTTATGTAAAGTCTTGAAAAAAATTAAAATAAATATAGTAATTATGTAAAAGTGAAAACAAAAGTAAATATTTCCAATATTACCTTGCAACAGGCAAAACATTGCCACCATGTAAGGATAATATTTCCATGGCTTCTTCAAATTTTCTGAAAGAAAAAAATAAATGATTATAATTGAAAAAAATAAAACATAACCTGTATAACCAAGTGGAACTATACAGACAATTGTAGTAGACCCATGATTCCTTTTGAAAATATGCATACAATTTGAGTCGATTTATGCATGTCCGTCTGTTGATGTAAAATTGTAAACAAAGTACTGGTCGCATTTATCATTCGATTTGGGTGAAATTTGCCACAGCTCTTTTAATTGACCCAAAGAACCCTATTGAAATTCGGAAAATCGGTTCAGATTTAGATATTGCTCCCATACATATTTTCTTCCGATTTTACGTAAATTGTGCACTAAAGACCCGAATATATACTTTAATATTGCAGGGTATAAATAAAAATCCGGCTAAATATTAGATATTTTTACATATATGCAGTGGAATTGACAATTTAAACCCACTGGGTTAACGAAATCCAGTACAATGTGAACGTGCTATAATAGCATAATAGCATTGTTTTAATACGTTTAATACGTACACGGACATCATAGACGTTACATCAAACATACGTCTACGATACGTACGACTAACTTCACAAAACATAACATATGTAATTCCTACGCATTTATGCATCACTGCAAATACATTTGGTTGTGTCACAAAACAACGGCACCGGTCTCGATTTATTGTTGACAGATCTGATTATAAACAAAAAGTACATAGCTGTGGAAAAAATCTATTTTTTTTTTAAAGATAATAGCAATATTTATAAACAAATTAAAAATATCAATGGAGTGACAGCCGCAAATTGCCAAAACTCTAAGAGAAGATAAAATATTGCAATAACAACAATGTACTAATTTCGGTCCGAAAAAATAAGAGGAACAAAATCTTTTCATAAGGGGTTGTTTTCCTGCTTCTAAAATAAATCGCTTCGAGAAATTTCATCAGCCCCCAGGCGATACTCCGAACAAGATGAGACGTATGAACAATTTACTGACACTTTTCACATCTATGTCAGCGTTTTTCTTTGGCTGCTTTATAACAACGCTATTGACATCGGTGGATAAATGTCCTGCGCAAAAGAGTGGTGTACACAAGCTGGAACCACATCCGGAACTTTTCTTAATGGTATTAATATTAAGTGCTCCACGTTATGAAGAAAAACGTAATGTGATACGTGAAACATGGTTGAAATTGGGTAGACCTTTATCTTTACCCTATTATCCCGAGGAATTTGTGTATTTACCTTTCTACGGACCCATGGGTCATTTACAAATGGAAAACACAAATGATCAGGCGAACCGTTTAAGGATTTTCCTTGACTGGTTAGAAAGTGTGCAGCATTCCAAGGCGGAGGTGCCAAAACGTAATATAAAAGTCAAACATTTCTTTGCCATTGGTACGCAAGGTTTGTCACCAGATTTACGTTATCAATTGGAAAAGGAACAAAAGAAACATTTGGATTTACTACTCTTACCCAGATTGACCGATACATATGCCAATTTAACAGAAAAGCTATTACATTCTATGGATGCCTTAACACACCATTATGATTTTAGTTATTTGCTGAAGGTCGATGATGATTCATATGTTAAATTGGATTACCTTTTAAATGAATTGGTATCATATGATCGAAAACTATTAAGACGTTCCAAAGAGTATCGTGATAATCCATTGCCAGCCCTGTACTGGGGTTACTTCAATGGTCGCAGTAACATTAAAACCAAAGGTCAATGGGCTGAACCAAATTATTATTTATCGATGCGTTATAACACTTACGCCTTGGGTGGTGGTTATGTTTTGGGTCGGAAACTTTGTGAATATATGGCTAATAATTCCCATCACCTATCCACTTATGTGAGTGAGGATATATCGGTGGGAACATGGTTGGCACCATTTAGACATGTCTATCGTCATCATGATCCACGTTTCGACACCGCCTATATGGCAAGAAAATGTAAGAAATATCATTTGGTCCTACACAAGCGTAATGAAACGATTATGCGTGACCTATACAATGATAAGCTATGCACATTCGAGGTGGCCAATGAAAAACAGCTACAACGTCCAATGGAATATTATTATGACTGGCATAAGACAGCGGATAAATGCTGTGATAGTTTAGTAATTTAAAAAAGTGCCATAATAAGAGATGAATAATAAATTGAAAATAATTAATGCTTTTCCTTATTTCCATTTAAACAAGAAAAAGTTACGCGCCTTAAATATTAATGATATTTAGTAAGAATTTTTATTATTGTGACCAAACCAAAGCTCAAATATATATTAAGTAATTCAAATATAATAAATTATTATATTGACCTATATTTGCTTTCAGTGTTCAAGAATTTTTAAGGGTTTCTTTGGGTAGAATTCTTTCATAAGCAGTCTATAGGTAGAAGTAATTCAAATGGATAAAACCTTTATAAAATCTCTATCATGTCTCCAATAGAGAAAATAATCACATAAAAGACCTTAATTCCGCATTTCATTTCATAAATTATTGTCCTCATAATACTTTGTTTAAACATTGTCTATTATGGTCATGACAATTCTTTGTTGGAATTCAAATCAAGAAGAAATTCAGGTACTTTCATAAAATATCCGATGTAAGTTGAGTTGGCGTTGACAATAAATGCAGTATTGTGACATCAATTCGTGCCAATATGAATTGAGATGACTCCCCCATCTTGAACATAACTGAGCAAAACTAATTTGCTAAAAACATTTTTCAAGGTGTATCAATAACGTGAATTTTTTAAAAATACTTTTTAAGGTGTATCAATAGGCGTGAATTTTTTACAAATATTTTTCAAGATGTATCTATTGGCGTAGATTTTTTAAAAATATTTTTCAAGGTGTATCAATAGACGTGGATTTTTTTAGAATATTTTTCAATGTGTATCAATTGGCGTGGACTTTTTAAAAATATTTTTTCAAGGGCCGACAGAATGATTGTCTGGGGGCATGCACGCATCATCCAGTTTTAAGTATTGTGTACGTATTTTTAATTAAATGTATTTATCTAGTTTTACTACATTGTAAGGGACTATTGTCAAATAGGTAATCATTTGACAAAATGATCACTTATCCCCAATGCGGAAAATTTTATAGATTTTCCAATCGATTTGTCAGACATAATTTCCATACTTTTCGTTGTACATTTATTAATTACTACATACCTGTGATCTATTAACCACTGTACCCGATCCTCTGTATCGAACAATGTGGCCACAACAATATCTTTTGGTGCTATAATATAATAACGATTCTCCTCGGGTAGGCAGCCTAAGATATAATCATTTACCGAATATTCTTGATAACTGAAACAATTCAAAAAAATGAATATTACAAAAAATGTTAAAAGACCATTTCCTTAGTAATCTGAATACCTACCCTCTTAAAGATAAACTATCAGTACAAATTTCTTCACTACTATTTAATTTATATTCCAATACCGATAATACTGGACGTAAAGCTTTACGATTTGAGTCCTTCTCTTTGGGATAACCGAGTACAACTAATTGATTGGAAGTCAATGATGCTAAGCCACTAATATAAAATGTTGTTTGGAAAGTTGAAACTTGAAATGGAATAAACAAAAAATATATATGAGGGTAATTTTTCTCTTTATTGCTATTTATGACTTACTTGGATCCACAATAAAACCAGGCAATGCTTTTAAAGCTGCCTCTACACTATTACGTTTACGTATAACACATATACGTATTGTATCGACCCAGCCGATAAGTAGAGTATTCGAATTGGCCCAACGAAAATTGCAACGGAAATTTTCCAAACGAGCACTGCAAAAATATTAAAAATAAGTTTTTTGATTGGACTAATTTTAATGTGCAAAACAAAATATTTACTTTGTTGGTTCTTCCCATTTCATTAGACCCAGAGAGCATTTTTCATTTAAATCAAATACACGTACACCCAAACAACTTGCCCACGCCACAAATGGGCCATTCCAACATATTGAGATTACATGGCCCTCGGCATTTGACAGTACATTGGGTTTAAGTTTTTTGAGAAAATTCTTTTCGTAGAGCGTTAGCTTTTCATCACCTAAAAACAAACAGGAATATAGGTATTTGATGTTCTTCATATAAAATCAATAATACCAACCGACTATGAAACGTTTGCCCTCATTAACTTTTGGATCTGGATCTAATACTGCCGCCCGTATAGCACGTCCACAATTTATTGTTTGATTGTTCTCATTGCTAAATAAACCAATTACGTTGACTTTGCCATCGTCGGAACATGTAGCCACATATTCACCTTTGGCATCGATATCAACCTGATTAACAGCCACCGTATGAGCAAACTCATGTTGATTGTGATTTAAATGGGAATCAACAGTATTTCCCTGATGATCAACTAAATAAATCCTTCCCAGAAATGTACCGAAAATCAGGAACTGATATTAAAAAAAAAAAAAAACAATATACAAATGGAAACTGACGGGTATCACCAATATATTTACCTTGGGATGTATGGCACATGCGGTAACTACATCCTTGTTAAGTATATCCTTTAAATCATGAGCAATACGCTGATATTTGAATTTTGGTTCAATTTCCTCCGATGCACTTTCCTCAGTGTCCTATCAAAACAATGGAATGCAAAAAATAATGAACTCATCATTGTCGGTAATGCGAAGCTAGTCATTCGATTATCATTTACAACTTACACTGCTGTGGGTTTCATTTTCGGCCATTATTTATTCACAGAATCAGCCGTCCAAGACTGTAGTTCCAGCAACGCCTATGGGATTTCCTCAATCACAAATAAACCAAATAAATAAAGGAATAATTGTTTTTCTTTCTGTTATCTTTAATATAGAGGTGGCAAGACATCGATGACACTATCGATAACAGAATGTTTGTTATGATCAACTGCCACCAGCAATAGTAGTATAATGGACCATGTGAACATGACCTTAGGTATATATTATGGCATGTTCATACGGTATTTTGCTATTAGTAACATCAAGTTACTTGTAGACCCTCGTATATATATATATATATATATATATAAAATGTCTGTTCCAGAACCTGCAAGAATGTACATATTTTTACTACCGACATCACAAATACCACTCTTCCACATCTTTCCTTAGCGACACACAATGGAGATCCTTGCAAACAACACAAAATAATCCACTCCGAATTGCAACCGGTTGTGTCCAGATGACGAGCGTCGATCACCTACATGAGGAGACCAGGATACTATGAGTCAAGCAACACAATGTATTGTTGACTAGACTGTTCCAGCTGGAATGCTATCTGCGGTGTCATCAAACAATGATGGCAGATTCAACTCCGCGACACATCCGTCAGCACTTCAGGTGCTATAATCCACCTGCAACTTCTGCCAGTGAGTCGCTTCTTCCTAGGCTAACCTGTTCGATTCTGTCACAACTAAGGCCCGGGTACAGCAATGTTCTCAATTCGTATCGAGAGCCAGCAAAGATCTCACGACACACACCATATATTCAATTGTATTGCCTTTTGGCTTTAGCCAGAAAGGGGTGGCACAGTTTCTCCGGCTACCCTCTTAAAATCCTAATAACTTTCAACAACAGCCAACCTTTTACAAGAACAATAATTTTGAAAGGAAGAAATAAATACTTCTACAGATATGGGGTTTCAAAAGAACTCCCTCTTTTTACTTAATACCTTAAAGACTACCACACCATTGGTATATTCCAGAACCTGTAAGAATGTAAAATTGTTTACTACGATAACAATTTTTCCTTTATGACACCGGAAAAAATAGTAAGAGTTATATTTAAAAATGCCAGGAAGGAGAGGAGTTAATAAAGAAAAAGAATTAAAAATAATACTATTTATAACTGCATTATTTTTATATGTTAATAAAATTGTCTTTTTATATCAAACTAGAAGAACTAGAGAACACTAGAAGAGCTACTGCACCGAAATTTACAATATAATTCATGAGAAAATTACACAGCCTCATTCACTTTCTCCTTATTCTGAATAAAGTTCGAAAGTTAAACAAATTCGCTTTGGGGAAAAATTAGTTTTTCTGGATTATAGGAGTGGGAGAATGTGATGACATTTTGCGCGAAATTTTTCGCTAATAAATTTAAAGGGACTACAAAAATATATTTATTTAATATTTTTATGAAAAATATCTACACTTTACTTATTTTGTGATTTGAATATTATAAATGATTGTATGCATGATACAATTATTTAAGGTATGCCATAGCAATTTAGAAATTACAATTTGTTTCATACTGAGGCTTCTTATGCCATAGTCGTATGCCTAATGTGTGGCTGTTGGTCTGTACCCGTTCTGCAAGTATCTACTTCATTTTACTATTTTCTTAGATATCATAAAAGAAAATTCGTTATCGTTGTGGGCTATAATGTTCTGTTCATTTGACATATATATATATATATCAGATTTTACCAAAAACGCGAAAAATGAATATGTCATGTTTTCTTTTTAAAATCGACTTGGGAATATGATTTACATATGGTCTGTTCCAGTACTTTTTAGTAGTAAATCTAGTGAAAGAGAAACATTTCAGAATCGCTCTCAGAGTGCAAAAAATTTGAAAAGTTCGGGAACGCAAATCTAGTAAATATGTTAAAATTAGATGGCAATACTTGAAATTGACCATAACAGCCAATCATTTACCATTTTGTTGTTTACCATTTTACTATGACAATTTTTTCGAGTAAAAAGTGTGGTGTATGTTTTACCAGTTTTGTGGGCTCAGGAACGGTTTTCTAGTAAAATGTCGCAAAACTTGTAAAATTCGTAGATTCTTTTAGGTTCTGGAACGGAACTAGTGTTGAAAAATTCTATAATGGGCTAAGCAGAGTGTTCACTTTGAGCGTATTTTGTTATCGCGTTAACGCATGCAAAAAGTTAAAAAATATTTAACTTCGAAGAGCAGCGCACATCAACTTCAAGCGTTAAGGGCTAAGCAGTATGCTCGCGTTGAGCGTTTTTTGTTATCACGTTAACGCACGCAAAAAGTTAAAATATATTTAACTCCGAAGCGCAGCGCACATCAACTTCGAGCGTTTGTGTTATCGTTCCCTTGTGGTTGTTGTATTTTCGATAACACATAACGGGATGGATGCAAGACAAGGTATATTTAATAAGGTAGCCGCATCGGCCCAGCTGTTGGACAAATAAATGTCAAAAATGTTGTTGTAATGTTGAACCAAAAAATTAAAAAACAAAATTATGAATGAAAATCTCCGAATTTCGAAGAGCTTTTTTGGCAATACTTTTATTAATATTTTCTACAAGAATTTGTGTAAAAAAATCTTGTCAATCTGTTTGTTTTGGCAAAATATTTTTGACATATCAAAATACAACAACCGATGTTTGTTGTAGAAATTCGCCGATGCGGCTACCTTGTATATCTACCTTGATGCAAGATCTATTCAAGATCTATTAATAAGGTCACCAAGATAGCAATCGAAATCGGAAAACAGCTGTTTTTTCTCAAGTCTAATGTCAAAAATTTCGACTTTGTTTGCGTTTTCATAATGGAAGTCAATTCACATTAATGCATTTTGACAGCAAACTTGAGAGGTATCGATAATCAGCTGGTCTCCCTTGGTGACCTTATTTATAGGCCATGGATCTATTAATAAGGTCACCAAGATAGAAATCGAAAGCGGAAAACAGCTGTTTTTTCTCAAGTCTAATGTCAAAATTTTCGATTTTGTTTACGTTTTCATAATGGAAGTCAATTCACAATAATGCATTTTGACAGCAAACTTGAGAGGTATCGATTATCAGTTGGTCTCCCTGTGTGACCTTATTTATAGGCCATGGATGGATGGTTCTACGCAGGTCTACTTAGTCCATGATCCAATAAACAGGTCGTGTCAGAAGCAGTCGTTATCGACAATTTGGGATTAAAATCCCCCAAGCTGTCAAATTTTCTGTTTACGTTTTCACACAACTAATTCAATATTGAAAACATTTTGACAGCTCAAGTGAAATCATCTGACTTTTCGGACGATCTTATTATTGGATCATGGCTTAAGGGCTAAGTTGAATGCTCGCGTTGAGCCATCCACAAAACCCAGCTGATTTGATTCCAACGTAATACTAGTGTCTATATGAATATGACGTTATGTTTTTAAAAATCACCCAAAAGGAAAATTGGGAACGAATACTCTTCGAAATTGTTTTATTAAATGTCCTCCCGTATTTAATTTACTCAATCTGCCTGCTGGGAAAGTTTGAGGAAGCAAATTTTTCTTCACGGAATAACTCGCCATTCCCAGCATTTTCATATGCGCTACACATATAAGTTGTAATGTCTCAATTATAGGAAAGATGTGGAAGCGATAGTAATATAAATTTGATAGATTTTCAATTTTATTTAAGGATTCGAAAATATTACATTTTCATAATAAATATATTGTTTGTTTGCATTTTTCTGTCAAATGACGTTGACACTAATATAACTTACAACCACAAATTTCCATGTGGTTGTTGCATCGTTTGTTGTAAAACAACACTTCCTGTTACCTTCTATTATTATACCATAAGTTCAAACAAATATGAGTACCTAAAGTGCTAAAAACAATAATCGAATGGAACAACCATCGGTACAAAAAGCAATAGGGCTGTTACAACAACAACCATCGGTACAAGGCGTATTTAATAAGGTGTAAGTGACAATCATATGGTTTTAAACTTTTTTCTTTATTGTTTGTGAAATAAATTATCACAAAATTTCTTTGACGTTTCATTTCCTTAAAATTTAAATTATTCTCAACAACAAAAAATACATTTATAGGAACAGAAATGTTACAAGTCTCAAATGACGAAAAAATATATTTTACATTGGTTTCCTGATTATAGACCTCTGAAATATGGACCTTTAAAATTTGCAAGGAGCCTGTATTGGTATCTGTCCATTGGTTTTTGTCGCACGTTCTGAAATATGGGCCTCTATAACGACTCTAGTGCATTCTCACGAAAATATAACATTTTGAGTAGCTCGTGTTGAAATAAGTCCATACGTGTATGGTATAAACCCTCAACCACCCTCAAAACCAAGGAAATTGTATATTGGAATTTGCCCATTGGTATTTGCAAAATCTTCGACGGATGTCCAGCCTAACTCATAGTTAGGAGCAAAATCAGTAGTGTTGGCGGTTTATTTGGGATACCATTTGTATTTTGTTTTTTGTTGGGATATTCTCCCCAAAATCTTTGCAATTAAGAATAGATTCTGTAGTGGATCTCTATATGTTAATTTAAGGGGACCCCCCCCCCCATTCTCGGGGTCAATTTTTTTTATTTAATTCGATTCTACACTAATTCGAGAATGTCTCTACAAAATTTCAAGTGAAAATCTCAAAAACTCTTGAAGATATAGCCGATTTATTGTGTCAGCATCAAGTGACGGTTTCAAGGGCTTCTCAAACTTTAAACGCGTTTTTCTCTTTTGCGAATGGCGGGCACGATAACTCAAAAACTAATAACCTAATCGATTCCAAATTTTTACACGGTTCTCTGTGAGTGTATAGCTATCGTATGAACTAGGATAAAGTAAAGTTAACTTGGTTTTTGGTCAAAAATCGGCGATTTTCCAAAAATATTTTTTTTTCAAAGGTCAGCCATTTTGTTAATTTTAGAGCGAAGTCAATAATCCTAGTTCATACGAGAGTCAGACATGTAATCTTTCTAACACCGTTGGAATTTTTGGATTCCGATTTTCCAGTGAGGAGTTATCATGCCCGC